TGAAGCCTCACATTAGCCGTGGTTTTCTGTTTCTTGAGACAGTCTGTGAGATTTAGTTAGCGGTGGCTCAAACATATTCATAGGTCGGGAATGATACCCAAATTTATGAGCTGGGGAAGAAAATTCATGAAATCAAGCAAAAGGATATCACTATGGTAAAATACTATACAAGTTTGAGTAGTCTATGGTCGGAGCTAGATTATTATCAGGATTTTCAAACAGATTGTGCTAGAGATAGTGTTAAATTTCAGTGGTTGATATAAAAAGAACGAGCATATAATTTTTTTGCTGGCCACAATATAGAGTATGATCAAATCTATATACATGTTCTAGGTAGAGATCCCTTTTCTTCCTTGCGGCAGACTTATGCTTATGTGCTGCAGGAGGAGTGCAATGCTTCATACTCCTGCTTATGATCGATCTGCTCTAGCATCTATTCCACGGTGAGAGGATAGATTTTTTTAGCCTCATGGTGACCGTAATAATAGGAGCACAGAAAAGGATTTGTTAAAATGTGGCTACTGTGGAAAGACGAGGCACACTAAAAATCATTGTTGGAAGCTATATAATCGTCCTCCTATAGGGCGTGGTGGTAATAGGGTTGTTATTGTGTGCTCTTCTCATGCCCATACGACTGAGATTGTTGATCCTACTTCCAGTGGTCCATCTCCATCGAGTGGTATTGATTATGCGAGATTCACTATAGATGAGATGCAGGTTCTCTAGCGTTTCATGGCCCGGCTTGATATTTCTTTTGCATTTGTTTCCACTTCTGCTACTTCCAAATTTGCCTATATAGGTATACAAGCTAGTGTTTTTACTACATCTTCTACCTATAATCCTTAGATTATCGATTCTGGAGCCACTAACCATATGACAGATTCTTCAAATCTTTTCTAATCTTATTCCACATGTTGCACTAAAGATAAAGCTATGGTAACAGATAGCTCATTGTCATCTGTATCAGGTAAAGATTCCATTCATTATTCTTCTTCTATATCTTTGTCTTTAGTTCTTCATGTTACTAATTTTTCTACTAATTTACTCTCAGGTAGTAGCATTACAAAGTCTCTAAATTACTCTGTAACATTCTTCCCATCTCATTACATTTTTTAGGAACTGGAAACGGAGAGAATGATTGGCAGTGGTAGTTTATATCTACTAGAGGATCAACCTTATCAAACACTTCAAGCTTCTGGTTTTGTGTCCAACAATTAAATCAATGGCATCGAAGACTTGGTCATCCATCAGTAGGAGTACTAGAGAAATTTTTTCCAGTTTTGATAAAACAATGTAATAAAGATAATATTCTTTGTAATGCTTGTGAATTTGCCAAGCATATAATAACTTCTTATCCTAGTAATAATAATATAAGTACTATCCCGTTTATGATTGTTCATTCTGATGTTTGGTAACCCGGTGAACCGAAGCCTGAACCAGGCCGGTTTAGTTATTGGATTATTTGAGCAAAGAAACTGGACAAAACCCGCTGAACCGGGTGGTTTTGTAACAAAATCTATGAACCGAACGGTTTATGATGATTCTGAATGACATCATCATTCTAGATCAACTAGAGGCACTACTAGACTCGAATTTTCATACGCAATCTCATGGTATGCTTGATTTTTGATTTGTTTTTCAATTTTTGAATGTTTTCTAAATTTTTTGACCTATTTTTTTTATTTGAGATTTGGAACTGTTTTTATCGATTTTTTTGCCTTGAATCTACTTTAAGGGATGCGACTATAGTTGTTTGATGTTTGGTTGGTTGATATGAGGGTAGTAGGTTGTGTTTGTGTGGATTTTTGTCTCTTTGGGCAAGTTCGGCTTCTTGTTGTTGCTCTTACCCCTATGTATTGTGATAACATCAATGCTATTCAGATTGCTCACTACTCAGTATTTTATCAGTGTACAAAGCATATTGAGATTAATTGTCACTATGTGCGCCATTATCTTCAATTGGGTACAATCTCTCTACCCTTCTTTTCTTCCACTATATGGTTGACAAATTCTTTACAAAGTCTCTTACAATCATGTGCTTCAGTTTTATTCTTGACAAACTTCTGATGTTTGCTGCCACATTGCCACAACATCTTGAGTTTGAGGGGAGGGTGTTAGAGGAATCTAGTGTAGTAGTATTAAGGATAGTTTAGTCATTCATTTTGTTCTGTTTTGCCCTACTATATAAGATTGTTATTTTCTTTTTCAGTTATGTAATACATACTTAAAATATAGTAATGAGAATCTCTTTTCCTTTCTCTTTCTCTTCTCTCCTTTTCTTTTGATCAATATTAACAAGAACATAAGGCATTGAATTGTTTTAACATTCACACCTTTATCTCAACTCTACTCAATCCAACAAAATCTTATTTTAACATTTTTTTAGTTTGGCTACACGAATTCTGTTGCACTATTGTGGTCTATTAAGGATCATATTTTCTATTAAACCATAAGTTATCATGTCTTTCTTTACTATGTTATTTAAAATTAATTTTGGTCTTAATCTATCCCTTCAATTACTGTCAATAATTGTCACATCACTCCTTCGTCGGGGCCATAGTAGGTTGTTTATACATATGTCCAAACTAGCTACGTCGATTCTCCTTTAGTTTATCTCCTATATGTGATACGTCTATTTTTTCACAGATATTCTCATTCCTAATTATATCCTTCATTTATGCATGTTTTAGGTATAATAATACACCCATATTCTTAATGATTTATTATTGATTTCATTTTACAATAGGGCTAGTAAAGTCTGAAATTGGATAGGCTTAGAAAGAAATATCACGTCCAATTGGTTGCGACTTGCTAGATTTTAAATGCTAGTAGCATTGGTTGATGACTTCTATGGCATACATTAATCATACACCCATGAGTTAATTGATCACTCACACCAAAATATCTAGTGAAGACATCAAATCACAAGCCCTTTCTCTATCTCTCTCCCTCTCTAATTGTTTTCACTACATGCCACCAAAAGCAAAAAAAAAAAACTCTTATTTCTCTCAATTTTTTGTTCGGCTAAACAAGTGATACACAAATTTCAATCGAAAAATTGAAAAGTTCTCAGAGATCATTGATCATATCAAAGTAGAAAGTAAAACCCTAATTCTTGAAGAAGACATTGAATGTGTGGAGAGAGAGAGAAAAACGCAATACCTAAAGAGTCGAATATTTGTTGTGGTGCTGTGAGCCTGTGGGTCAAAGAATCTAAATCAAAGAATCTAGGCACTTCGAGTCTTCGATTGAGCGATTTGCCAGTGTGCTCTATGTGTGTGTGTGAGGGAGAGGGAGAGAGAGAGAGAGAGGGGGGATGGGTGGGGTGGGGTGGGGTGGGGTGGGGTGGGGTGACCAGTCGCCTCATTGGAGATGAGGAGAACAGAGGCAAAGATGAATGAATTTGGGAAAAAAAAATGGCTAGAACCTCCTTTTATAGCATTTGAAGCAACTCGTCCAATTTGTTTTTCACATGCTGACTTCAGCCCACGGCTATTGCTATTTTACTGGTGTGATGATGTGATATTAAAGGTATTTTGGACCCAAACCAACTCTGTTACCACGTTATTATTAATCAAAGAAAAAAGAGAGGAAAGAAAGAGAACTACACAATAACTATCTTATATAGAAGGGCAAAATAGAATAACATAAATAACTAAACTACCCCTAATACTAATATAATAGATTACTCAAACACTTGTCACCGTTGCGTGACATCCTTTACGCACCATTTTCATTTCATCATAACTGCATTGTTACCAACAATTTAAAAGCATGCCTTTAAGGCTAGCATGATTTTAGTACTAGAAAACAATACCATGCAGATTTCAAATAATTTGGACTACGGTAGGTGAGAAATTGGCAATTCCATGGAATTGGAAATAAATAGACTTGTTTAAATTCTATTTTAGGTATAGACTTATTTAAATTCTATTTGATACATTATTTGTGTAATAGCAGGATTTTCACTGAGGGTAGCATGAAAGTAAGATGAACATCCACCATCAAGAATCCATTGAATCACTTATTTATCCACATGCACAAACCACATGTCACCTAAATGGAATGACATAAATCAACAACCAATTGCTAAAGAATATAAGTTCTTCTAAATAAAAGGTCTTCACGGGATGACACTGGGACAATTCCCAGCTTGCCCAGTAGGTTTATGTACCTCCTACCTCCCTTTCATGCTTGACACATTCTCAAGAAAAGACTCTTGCTTCCCTAAAACATCTACACTTTGTTTGGTTTGTGGATTAAAAAGAAGGAAAGGAGATTAAAAAGAAAAGGTAAAGGAAATGAGAATTCCTTACTGGTCTCTTTCCTAGTTAGGAAACAATAGAATATTATTAAAGTGGAAAAGAAAATAGAACATGAGAGGACAAGGAGCCCTCAATAGATAAATAAAAAGAAAAGGAAAGCCAAACAAGTTCAATCCAAAATTACAATAAATAGGTAAAAAAATCAATTGGCATCACCATTCACACACTTAAGCCCAATGGTCTTTAATTAAAATTCAAGGAATCCCATCAGATTCTTGAGACATGGAGACAAAAGAGATGTCATGAAAGAGACTTAATCCCAAAGTTCTTCCCAAGGAACCTCCTTTTCCTCCAAAATCCCAAAGTTCTCTTTCCTAAAACAACACTAGAAGTTCAAATTTCTCAAATCATGAGAAAGGATAATGACATGTTAAACAAAAAAATTGCTCTTTGGCGCATAGTATCGTTTTTTTCTCTTCAATGAAAAATAAATAAGAGAAAAGGAATTCCTTAACATTTTCTTTTCTTTTTCCCTTGCTAGATTCATGAGCCAACCAGAGCACTTACTTGAAAATTCGTGATTTGAAGGCCATGCTATTTTTTGTTTTCCTTTCCTTCTTGGATTTCAAAACTTGAAAGCTTTGGTTCACATATTGGGTTTCATCAGCTCATACATTGTCAGTATAAATGTTATAAAGGACCAGAAACACTAGATGATTCTCACAATCTACTGGTTCAAAATCCTTGATTCTTTTCAAAAATAAGTTCACATGCATATACGAGTATGGGCATTGGCCGCTTCTTTGCCAAGTATCCAATGCCACCACCCTGATGGAGTGGCTTGTTAAAACTAAGAGCCACTCTTAGAACCACAAGCTAGAACGTGGATATCCTCACTACACAAAAATATATAGCTCAATTTCCGTAAGCTAATACATTGCACACCTCACTGTAAAATGGACAGAAGGAACAGAGGAGATAACATTATTTGATAAAAATAAAGTAAGAAGATAGATAAAGAAATATCCGGAAATAAAATCTATATAATAAACAGGAGTGTGTTTGAATTTTATCCCAGTCATATTTTCTCCCTCAAAACCATCACCAATCACTTACCTCACCTATAATTCCTTTGTCAGACTCAAACGTCAAATCACATCGCTCTCTTTTATCCATATTTAATCATTTATATGTTTCCTCCCTAAAAATATCACATCACTTATTTTTATCATATATTCAATCATTTAATATTTAATAATTAATTGGTAGTTAATATATTTTTAAAAAATTTCATATAGTGGGATCGATTTTTTGGATGCTCGAATTTTATATTTTAGCGTGCCCGAAGGCACGGGTTATGACTAGTATACATGTATAGGACTAATTCAAATCTGCATAGCTGTCTCGTTTCGACAAGGAGTAGATACCACTATTCGGCCAGTAGTATTAGATAAAAAAACTAAACAATCCGTTACAATATACTATTGGAGGAATACAATCAAACCAAGGTGGGTTGGGTATGGCAAAATAAGAATAAGATACAATTTCCGAACAAGCCAAGAAAAATTATCATAATATAGATCTATTCACCACCGAAACATCCCATTCATATATTACTAAAGTCCACAGTACTTAAATAACCCTATCTGGCTCAACACTATAGGCACATTTTCCTGGATGTCAATCATTCAGGACCAAAACTCACAAAATGGCAAAAATCAATTCACAAATAAGCACGCAGACACAGATGCATTTTTATGGAGAAAGAGCTAACTAAAGAGTGACTGACCTTATCATGAATACTATGTGGTGAATTAGCTTTGTTCTTGACCCATCGGACTCGGAGTTGAGCAATGGTGTCGCCGGCAAGAGCTAGAGATGCAGCCGTCGCAGCTTGCTTAAGGGGGAACCGGTAACCGGCTCCTCCGGTTGCCTCCACTGAGTCGGAGGATTTAGATTTCTTGTTTCTGCTTCTACTCCTTGGTTGTTGAGATTGAAATGGCAGCATTCCCCAAATCCAGCCATTACCACCTCCACCCAACGCATCCATTCTCAGAGAAGAGACCAACAAACTGTTTGTATGTGTGCGTGTGCGCGTGCGTGTGCGTGTGCGTGTGTGTGAGATGGGGAGAGAGAGATTTGGGAGGGGGGGGAGGAGGAGATGAAAATCGTGGAGTATAATTTTTAGGACTTTTTATTTTGGTAAATGAAATAGAGAATTAACGTCATAATTACACTTTGAGAACACAACTTTATCAAAATTATAAATTTTACCCATTCAACTTTACTATATATCATTTGCCTCTTGATTTGCCCCAAAAAGTTGAAATAAATTCTGTTGGAGAATTCCTGCATCTTATTAGGATGGTGAAAAGGTTCAAGAACAATAATCAAGGATATATTATATATCTTTATAAAATTTGTGACTAATTTATAATTTTTCAATTATAGCAATCAAATTTGAAGTTTTAAAAATCAGTGTGGCCACTCATTACTTCTTGTCGGATTTTGGATGCAAAATCATACATCTTAATATATCACCCGAATTTCACATTACTCTTCCACTGTTGGTTCAAGTTACTCATTCAACAAGTCCCCGAATTAGTTTTGCATTATCCCAAAACCAAACATTCATTATATTTTATGTCATTGATTGTTCGGGGGATGGGAAACTAATTAACACAGTTTGGTAGGTTTGTTTCTACGAAGCACGGATATTTTGTTGAGACTGATGTACTCGTATCAAATACGATACTCATCAGATATTCGAGGATACGTATCAGATATACCTTCTACGTATTCAATAATAATTAACTATTAGGATACTTCACGGATACTTTTGTAGTTGAGCAACATTTATAATTTTTTAGTTAAACTTTTAACATCTCTTTTCGAATTCACATACTATACAATATATTAACAAAAATTTCATATTACTTTAAAAGCACATGATTATTTTTTAAATATTATTTACAATTACATATCAAAATACCATATAATAAAGCTATTACATTATAATCTTATTAAAAATTACTTCTAAATACTAGGTAAATATTAACTTTGATTCCTTTAATTAGTCACTTCACTTTGTGAATATATCAAAGCGACACGATATATTTTTCTTGAAACTAAAAAGAATTACTAATTTTCCTTATTATATGTTAAAGAACAACCAAAATATATAAGTGTTAAGTTTGTTAAAAATAATAAAAATATTAAATATATTTTATTATAATCGTATCTTGACCGTACTCGCATCTTATTTTTTTAGATTTTGTCGTATCTGTATTGTATTGTATCCGTATCCGTGTTTCATTGGTTTGTTGCAAGCATCTGTATCATTTTCATCTAAATACAGACAATAATTGGATTTTGAAACATTGTGAAACTAATTAATGCAATTTGGAAAATTATAGAAAAAATAATAAAGAAACTAAGTTGAATTTGAGATTACAGGAAAGTATCATACGTCTTCGAAGCTAAGCTAAAAGTGGATCAAACTTTAATTATAGTATATATAGAAACTATCAAGTTAACCAAGTGATTGGTCCGCCAGTTGCTGACGCACGAATAAATTTCGGCCAAAATGGTACACTAATAGTGCCAATTTCCAAGACAACAAAAATCTCACCTCTTGAATGTGTTGGTCCGAGATGAATACAAGCAACGGTAAACTGTCGTTAGACTACTAATCACGTGCACTCGGAGAGAAAACAAAATATGACGATTTGATGATTTGATCGGAAGTTTATGAGAATTTTTTTAGATGAAGTCTTTCAT